TGCCTGCCAACACGCCTGGGAGCATTTCAAGTTTCTGCGCTTTCATCAGCTTTAGGAAGTGTACAGGGAAATATAGATCTATTTAATGACATGTGGATTCCCTGGAAACATATGACCGGAGCATACCTCACATATTTTAAATGCACTTGCATTGACACGTGTAAAATGATTAAAAAGGTAGACGCTACCATGAGGTTGTCTGTACATTAAACAGACCTGTAATGCTATTTACTCAGCCATAACTGATCTCTGTCTGTGTGTTCGCTCTCTCAAAGAAAGTAGAAAGGAGCTACATGTCGCTCAGGTGATTTGTCCTCATGTAGAGCAGGTGATCCAGACAGAGACGATCTGTTCTGTCTGAACATCTGTGATCATTCTTACTGTCTGTCCCAGTCTGAGGCAGCATAATTACACCCTGCTCAGATCACTTATTATTTATATTTATTGCTTGATATAAATGTAGGTGATTGATGTTTATGAATAAAAGTTTTTTTAAAAGTAAAGTGTCTGCAAGCCAGTAATGTTAAAAGCAAAGTTAGCAAAATTTAAAAAGTAAAGTTCCAGCCACGTACCATGGTAATGTGCTGCTGGAACAACTGACAAACTAAAAGCAATTGTTTCAAGCTGCTCTAATCAATGTGTAATCAATTTATTATATGCAAATGAGGATCAGATGCCTCCTGACTCAACCTTTCCGATCAGCTCACTGCTTTAGTTTCAGGTCATCGCTCTACGAAGGCAGCGGTTTTCAGCAGAGCCTGAACAATATATTGGTCAGCCCATTTACCTACCACAGAAATGTATTTGAAAAACTTTTTTACTAGAACATGAGGCTAAAAAATATGCAAGGAGTAATTCAGAAATGCTGTCAGCACATTGCTTGTCCAGACACTCCATTATTTGTAACACTGTCTGCAGCACATGCAGCAGAGCATATCTCACAGCTGAGAGCAGAGCTAAGTGGTTTGATTTAGTTTGAGAAATACGTTACTGGAAATTACTATATATTTATCTATGTGTATCTTTAGAGAAGATGGGTCAATATTTCGATACTGGAATTTTGAACTCCCTAAAAATGGCCCCAAACATTCAGTAGTGATTGGGTTCTAGTTGTCAGTGAAAAATTCATCTAGAAAGGGACCACGAATGTCTTTATCCGATACTTGCATGGTGCATGGCAGCACAAGATTAGATAAGAAAGGCAGGGAATCAAGAAAGGCAGTAGGCTTCATCTTTGAGCAATAGGCCTGGGTGGTATCATTACAGTAAACCAGGGTATTTAGAAATCCTCAAGATATAACTTTTAATACAACCAGAAATACAGATAATCCTCCTTCTATTAAACTAATACAGAGATGTTGTATTGGGGTGATGTGTTGTATTGCACTAGGGGTTCACTGATTATTGACCTGCTTGTTTATTCAGGATTTTTACAACTGGGTTGTGATTTTTTTTCCTTTTTTTTAACTGATTCACAACAGAATTAATTACTTTTAAAACTGTGCTACTTTGGCTATGAAGCAGCAACCTCTCTCTAATTGCAGTCACCACACTGTGGTTTTGAGCAATATTTCGCCCGCAGCAATATCTGACGCCTTTCACAACACTGAAGGATAAATCTCCAAAAGCTTTCTTTTAATGAAACGTCCAAAACACAAATAGACAGATACAGTTCAACAAAGTTTTTGCTGGCATTTAAGATTTAAGATTGTCATTTTTCATGTATATAATTCCAAATACAGTTTATTAGTCCCCTTGATTACTTAGAATTGGCATTGGTATCAAAAAAGAAAAGAAAAAAAACATAATGGTTGACCACCATGATGCCACCATAATCCAAAACTAATAACCTGCTCTGGACCAGGTTAGCGCTGCAGCATATGTTACCATGGTGATTGAGCAGGTTAAAAGAGAGCCACCTTTGTTACAATGAAAACTCTGGCTTTAAACTCAACATACCTCAATAACCCACTAATCTGAATTAATAGCACAGCTCTCAGACATTAGCTACAACGGGTGGAACAAGCAGCTGAGCTGAGAAAGATGGTGACTACAGGTGTTACAGGACAAGTAAAAAAGTAAAACAGGAACAGAAAGGACACAGTCTACATATAACTTCATCTTGAGTCTACCTCCACCACCAGCACATCATCAGCCTACTGATGCGTCGATATCTGCTGCAGCAACGAGTGGACAGATGTGAACCTACATCTCCATTCACTGAGCTACAACTCTCACATGCCTAAAAATATATCATACAATTGCTGGTTAAAGCTATTAATGGGATTTTGCTTGCTTTTCTCAGTTTAATATCGTTGTAAAAACTGGAAACGTTCTTCTTTAGAAGCACAGACCTCTGCCTGCATTGATCCGTTCTCCAGCTGTTTTAAACCGGGACTTGGGTTTGTCATCCTCCTGTTTTAGTCACTTTCTCATGTCAACCTGCCCAGTGAAAGTAAAAAAAGATTTAGAAAAAGCTTCGCGCTCTATTAAAGTTATGGCCTTTAAATGACATTCATGTGTTGGCAGAAATCCCAGAAACCAGATCATGACTAAAACCTGACCGTTTCTTGGGCCTCAACTTGTTTGTTCACCCAATTCAGCCTTTGGAAATCCTTGTACATACTGAAGCACACATCCTGAGAGATATTTCTGCACTTCCACACTCTGACAGGAACCATATTGCTTCTGAGGAAAGGTTTAGTCGGGTTTGTTCACTCTGGACCTCAGCCTCACTGTGCTGACATCACAGCCACTCAAATATGGAAAAGTCTTCATATTGTTGCTGCTATAGCCATGGCCGTTTTAACACGGGAGAGAGAAATTTCCACTTGTCCACACCACATTCCAGTGCTCACACTGAACAGCACACATCTCCTCTGCAGGCTTAAAGTCGAAACCCCCTCTATCCCTCTCCAGCGAAAAACTCATACAACTCAGCGAGGATCTTTTCAGATAAATCCAGCGAGGCAGGTCACTGTATGGCAGATTCGTTATCCAGACCAAATGTGAAGCAGCGTGAGGTATTCCTGGAATTTAATGTCTCTCCTGAATTATTTGACACAGAAGCTCCGAAACGTGACGCACCGCAAGGAAATCGGGGCAGAAAAAAAGGGGAGAGGGGGGGGAAGACTGTTGTCAGAGCCAACTCTGTGACTCCACACAGTGTCAAAGAGGAACAGTCCGGTCACGGCGCTACGAGGAGGATTCACTTAACCTCGATTAAATCCAGCCTGCTTACCTCCACATGGGCATACCAGAGAAAACAGCTGGAGAGGCTGCATGTGGACTGAAAACTACAGCTTCTCTGAGCAGAACTGAGTGAGATGACTGTAAGAAGCAACACAGAGCTGATTTATTCTTACTGATTTTTGGTTGTTGACCTCCTACAGGCTTCGCTTAAGACTCATTTGCCTGTTTAGTCGTGCTGCATCTTAGGTTGTTCTTTAAAATCCAAGCATAAAAACATGTGTGTAAGCTCAAAGAGAAGCTGATGATTTAAGAATTTAAAGGGAAAACTGATGGTTTTTAAGTTAGAAAGATGTGAAAGGAATGTGACTGGCGTAGAAATATGATGCTGGTTAATAAACTAAGTGCTACTGCAGCCTACCATTGGCTCGTAACTGTGGCTTTGGCTTTCAACGACAACAGAGTTCATCACAATCAGCGTTAAATTATGTTGGTGAAACAGAGATGAACAAACTGGTAGTCAATTAGCGATTAAAAATCACTTATACCATGTGCGTCGCAGTACTTTTCGTACTACTTTTTCCTCATTTTTTTCTTCTTCTTTCTGAGTAGCTCATTCTCCACTCTGAGTAATTTCAAGCAAGGAGGATCAGTCAAATCCATTTCTGGGCCGGAGACTGACGTAGACTGCGAGGCTCCATGTCTCACCACAGCTGATCTGATACAGCAACAGAAAAGGCTCCACTCATGCCAACCAGACACTGGAAGTCAACGTTGGGGAGGGGGTGGGGGGGTGAAAGCATAGATGTTAGGAGTACATTTATATGCTATGTAATGAGCCATGCCTTGCTAATTAAAGTGTAGCATGGGAGCATTTTTCCAGCGATGCCGTGGAGGGTAAACCCACCTCACCTCGCCTCAGCCACCTATTTATTTGCGGAGCAGAGTTGACACAAGACTTAACGGCGTGAATTCATACGGTATCGGCTGCAGGTATCAAACCATGAGGGCGCGAGTGAAGCAAATACACTTGATTGTGTGGCTGATGATGATCACACAAGAGGTCATAGATTGTATTGACATTTAGGAGACTTTCACCACAAAATTACTACATTTTCTCAACTTATCTGCCACTTTACAGGTAAATTCATTCTATTTATGATGTAGCTCTGCTTTCATTTTGATCCCTTGCTTTGTGGTTTAGTTGCTTTGTTGTCTGGTTGGTGTTATCCCTTGTTTTTATAATGTCTTCTTAGTGCGGCATCTTAAAACTTACTTTAGGAAAGGTGCCACATATAAAAAAAGAAAGTTAATAGAAGATTTTACATAGCCATGCTGTCTTACATCTGTATTAAACAAAAGCAAAACTTGGATCAACTTCAAATTGACAGACAAGGCTAAAAAGCACAGTGAGCACTTTCACTTTGGATACTTTTCCAGCTATTACTGCTTTTCAAACTTGGACTTTTCCTTGTATTTCACCACAAGTGGACCCTGTTTGTTAACCAAGTAGTTGATCTGAACACTTTTCCCACCACTGCCTCGTTATAACATTAAAATGTGGTCAGCAGGCCCATCATCTAGTGCGTATTTACGCATTTTTATGGAGTCCCATAGCAATTTCATTGTCCACAAAAAAGGTGCATTTATGAGCAAACAAACAGGCCTCCCTCACCTCTCTAGAGGCTCCACAGAAGGGGGGGAAAAAACTATAAACCCAGAGGTCAGGGCAGCACTATTAGTTAATCGCAGCGGCCTATTTATATCCCCTCATAAATAAAGCGCATTGTTCCAGCCTCCCCGTCACTCACCGACCCTGAAGCCCTGTCCGATGAGCGTGTCGGCCGCCTGCCCGTTCTCGGCGATCAGCGTGGTGTTGTTGCCCTGCTCGCAGGTATCCTGACACTGTCCCTTCAGGCAGATCCGCTTGCAGATGAGCGGCGCGATGACCACCTTGAAGCGCTCCCGTGTGGAGGAGCGCTCCGTGCACCACACCAGCCTGTGGACGCTCAGCCAGATGACAAGCAGACGGGCGATCAGAGAGGGCATCCTGGCATCCTTCACTGGCCTCCACAGAGACCCGGGCACATGCAGATCACAAAGCTCCCAGCTCCGAGGCGCCTGCTCTGTGAACACCGACGGGGAATTTTTGACGTCTCATACGGCAAAGAGGAGAGAAGAAGCAGAAAAAAAGAAAAAGAAAAGAAAGAAGAAAAAAAAAAACGCGCGTCCTCCCTCCTGTTTTCTCCTCAAAGGAAAAGGAAAATCACTTCCCTCGCAAGTGATCCGTCTGAGAAACCGCCACGTTTGGCATCTTTGGAAGTTTTCTAGATCTTTTCAACAACAATAAAAAAAAAAGTTGCCCCTCGCTTTTGTGGTTCTTCCTTCTTCTTCTCGCCTGTTGCTTTGGAGAGTTGGAGAGAGTGCGTATGTGGGTTTGGGAGAGAGAGAGAGAGAGAGAGAGAGAAGGGAGGAGGAGAGGAGAAGGGGTGAGCCAACCCTCTCTGGAGAAAGCTGGCTGCAGGCCAGCCAGGCGGTGCAGGAGCAAAGCTCAGAGTGGTTTCCTTGTTGGTTCTTTCTCCTGACACCCCTCCTCTGCTCTGCTCTGCAAATCACCGCTGCACAGCTGTGAGTGTCACTCTGAATAAAACATCCTGACAGGTAATATATTACTTCATACACGCTTGTGTTTGTTTAGTTCCCAAAGTGAGACTGACACTGAAAAATCAACAGCTTCATCTGGAGGTAAATGAGACTTACCTTAGTATCACTGCTGACTAAAACACTCCTTCTTCACCCAACCTGCAGTGATCACATCAATAAAACAATCCTCCTTGTTTCACAGACATTTAAAATGTGAAAATATTACACTGTCACTTAACAAAAAAGGTCCCATCAATTGTTTTTGACTTCTAAAGGAATTCTGTTCATCCAGCAGACTACTCTGAGTCAGCTGGATTAGGTCTACCTCTATAATCAAAGCTATTTTTTAGCTTTCGTCTGAAATTGTTCAGACATGTTAAGATAGTTTGATCTCAAGTTGAAGAAAAATCAGGTTATTAAGTCAATTTCTAATGAATTACCTCAACTTGAATTTAGCTTAAAATCAACTAGAACAGAAGTTTGAGTTTAAAATAAACACAATATGATGCAGTTATTATTATTATGTCAGCCCATCCTATTAATATAATGTTGGCAACCTAAATTGTTTATCTAACTTGGCAAATTGGATTTATTTTTATATTTACTTATCTTTTCAATCTTACAACGTTTGTGTAGGTGATGGGAATAGATTTATTTAAGTACTCTTTAGAGTGAATGTGAGTCTTCAGGGTCAGGTAGAGGTCAACATCAGCAGAATCTGTAACTCCAAAGCTCGTTAGACGTTTTTCTTTTTTGTCTTTTGAAAGATGAATATTTATGTACTCACATAAAGATACCCAAAACAAACCGGTGTGGATGTGGACTTATCTCCATCAAGGATTTATAGGTGAGTGAGCTGTTCTAGTGTGCACTACGTGTTGTATCATGAGTTTGGTTTGTGAACTCATTACTGATTACAATCTTTAAAACACTGATTTAGCACTTGCAGGGTTTCATATGTAACAAACGTAAGGATCTAATCTCGTCACCTTGCAGGGTGGGACTTTCTGTGTCATTACTCGTCTTTACAACTGGCTTCATATATAGCTGAATTAGTCCAGGATTCCTGTGAGTCTCACTGGTGTTACTGTATATTATTGCTGACATGAGCCATGTTATCTTTAGCATATTTCATATATTAGCCGTGGCCTCTCTAATGTGAAGGCTGAGACCAACCCCCACCTCATATTCCTTCAACTAGGAGCCTTACAAGAGACAAACTTCCCTTTAACATGGAGCGTGATTTTATACATTTGTCTATTTCCTGAAGAGAACACCAGTCTCGTAAGCATCCACACAGATTATTGCAATAAATACCTCTGACGGACACTTGAATTTACTTTAAAGGGAATTTTTCTGTCATAATTAGAACTTGCCATTGTGTAGCATGGAGGAGCGTTACAGACTTTGAGTAGGTGAGCTGGTGTGCTCCAGCTGCAGCGAGTGAGGGGAGAGAGAGGAAGGGACTTAAAAAGTATTCAACCCCTTGGAAGTTTTCCTTTTCATTGTTCTTTAACATGTAATTTGGCTTTTATGGCAAGAATTTACAGAAAAAGACTCGTCTGTGTCAAAGTGAAAACAGATTTCTACAAAGTTATGTCACTTAATTTTAAAAGACAATGTTAAATAAGGGATATAAGTGATCTTATCTAAAAAAGACAAATTAAATTGACATGATTCAGTGTTGAAAGGAAATAAACAGAGAAAATTTCTAAGAGAAGGTTGTAGTTTTTACAGGCACTGTAGATCTGCACATTCAGCTACACTGAAGCCATTTATTGGCATGAAAGGATTATTTTCATTGGCGAGAAACTTCTAAACATGTACCTTTGATACTCAGAGATGAATTCGTAGGGAGAGGCTTCATTAGAGGTGATGTTTAACTCCAGCAATCCAACATAAGCCTCGTCTAAACCCTTAATTTCTTGAGGAGCAGCAGCTTTAACTGTCAGATTAATTAAATGTAGTAAAGAGTAAAAAAAAGTTGCTCCATACGGCAGTAAATACATCTCAAATGTAAGTTAATAAAGTGTCAAATTAATTTTCTCAAACAAGCACAAGCATTTGTTCTGCTTGTATTGTTGGTTGGTGTGTTTTCTCCGATAACTACAGCAAAATACGTCTTTGCCATCGATGCATTCAGACAAACAATAGCCAACCCTGCTGCCCGCCACTAGAATGGAACATCATAAAGTTCAGACAGTAAATGTGACTCAACACAGCATCCAAGGCTGAAACACGTCATTCTAGCGATACGTCCAGCTGTGATTCTGTGAAAAGTCACATGTAAGAAATGACAAAGTGGAGGTACGCGACTGTTTGGATGACGAGGGCCGGTCAGTGCTCGGGGTCACATGGGCAAAGAGGTGAAAGTGAGAAAGAGACAAAGAGAAAGGAAGAGAGAGTTGAGTCACTTCCTTTACAAAAAGTGAGAGTGTTTACTTTTAGTCGCTGAGGAAATGACTGCATGGGCCTACAGGGAGTTCACAGGCTGCTCTCACATTACTCTGCTGCCGCTGCCGCTGCTGCTCGCCATCACTGCATCATCGGCTGCCAAGACACACACACACACACACACACTGAGTGTAAATACATCGTAGGTCACACAAAAACCAAGCCTGACTATTATTGTTAGTACAATATAATTACTTCCCCTCTGAAAACTGAAACCTCAGTGTTACTCACTGCACCAGACAATAAAGACAAACAGAAAAGACAAATAAACAGTCGTATTACACAACCTAAAGATAAAAACAGCTTTGTTTATCTGGAGACTGAAATTAAAACCCTTGCATGAGTATGCAACAATGTGCAAAGGAAACTACTGCAATCAGAACAGCATTTGACTGAAGGGAAATGTTTTGAAATGTCACAAGTAAAAAATTGGAGTGCGCAATAAACAGTAGCATAGCCACTGACAGAATCATATTATGATATCCACTGACTAACAGCACCACCAGTATAGTTTAAGTTGATCAACAATCGACATATTTCAGTCAGATTATCAACACACTGTAAAAGAAGAAAAAGAAAAAAAAATTCTGTTACAAAAAAAGAAAGAAAAAAAGGTGAAAATCTGACAATAAAGTTTTTTTTAAAAAAACTGTAAAAAATAAATAAATAACAGCAAATACCTGTAAAATTCTTACATTTTTGGCTAATTTAAACACAGTATGAGTGTAATTTTACAGTCACATATTTTAAAATAGATGATTTTTGGTGTGGACATTATGTAGAGTCAGTCTGCTTTTTTTTCCTCTTCTGTTTTTTGACTTGTTTATATGCAAATTAACACGTTTTTTCAGTGATTTTACTAGTTCATAGCTGTAATTTAACAAAACAAAAAAATCTGTAAAACACCCATTAAATAATGATTTGCAATTTTTAAAGTCATAATATATATTTTTTTCTTTTAAATTATGGCAAATATCTGTAAAATATATCATTTTTTTGCTCATTTAAATACAGTAATAAATAATGCAATGTTACGGTCACGAGTTGTAAAACACATGCTTACCCTTTATACAAATGCAGGTTTGTCATGTGGACATTATGTACGGTTCTGGTTTTGTTTTGTTTTGTTGTTGTGAATTAATACTGTTTCTCAATGTTTTTCAAAAGTATTACCTGTAATTTAACCAAACATAAAAAGTCTGGAAAATGACAGCAAATTGTTCAAAAAGTTATGGGTAAAAACTTTTTTAAAAAACCACCAACAACAAAAAAAATCATTATTTTTTACAGTGCATAGTTTGGCAGCGTTATATTTCAGAATCAAGACGTCAAGTCATCGTTACTTATGCAGCACATTTTAAACAACAGGCACTGACTAAAAATGCTTCCCAATAGCAAAATAAGATTAACATCACAAATGTACCTGACTAATTTAATCACCAAGGCTACGACCCTGTAAATGTATACAGACACACCGAACAAATCTGAAGATCTCCTTTGATCGAGCACATTGGTGAACAGCTCCCTTTAACCAGGAAGAAAACTCTTCCAGAGCCAGGCTCAATGAATAGTTGGGGCAAAGAGAAAGAAGAGAAAAAAAACAAAGGAAAGCAGAGACAAACAGACAGTAAACAAGAGAACAATAATCGCTGGACAGGTCAGCGATGCCAGGAACTGCAGATCAGACTTGTGCAGCTCTGGATCCAGAAACAGCAGCAGAGAGGACAAACACAGACTACAGAGGAGGGAAGACACAAAGTTAATAACACGCACCAGTGAGTTTAAGCGCACCGAGGGAATGAAAAATATTACAAAAAAACTCAAGTATAAACCATGAAAAAGGCATATAGTTTAATTGGATTCATGAAAAACCTCCTAATGTTACTCAGTGGGGATTTTCTTTTCTTTTTTTAGTTTTTCCAAAGGGGAGGCTTAGAGCCAAGTTCAAGGGAAGTGATTACAGCTTTATGGATATATGGCAGCCTCACATGGACCACTGGCCCAGCGGTCGAAGCAACGTAATCCAAAGGGTAAAAGGCCACGCTGGATTAGAAGGCTCTACACAAGAGGGAGGTTAAATGAGGTCTGGCAGCGTAAAGACATCCTACTATTAAATCCACTGGTTTGTTTTAGTTTTGGATGGATGGATGGATAGATGGACGGATGGATAGATGGATGGACAGATGGATAGATGGATAGACAGATAGACAGATGGATGGATGGAAGGATGGATGGATAGATGGACAGATAGATAGATAGAAAACGTACACATAACTAAAAGTGATATGTAATTAAAGTGCAAGTCAAACACCAACATAAAAACGTTCAGCCTCAGGCCCCAATTAGTTTGTAGTTTACATCCTGCTGCACAACCTCTTTAACCTCTGCTTGTTTCATGCTATGGTTTAATATGCCAACTGATACGGGCAAAATGGGAGTTTTTAAATCGATTACACCATTAAGTTCTGTATCATCAAGCCTGATGGCAGCAGCTCACAGTCATTACAGAACATGAGATGGATCACAGAGGATCCTCTTTCCCTGCTGAAGCCCACGATCAATACTGAGATGATTTGCACTTGCAAAAAAAAAAAAAAAAAAGATCAGCTGCATACCGTTTTCTTTCAACAGCATGGAAACAATAGAAGTTTAGAATCTCGCAGAACATTTTTACACTCTGGATGTTGTACATTCATGGTCTCCAGAAGGGTGAATCCTCATGACTCTGGTGATCCTCTGGTGCCACCATAAGGTTAACGTTTGTCATTTCAAGAAACATGTCTCAATAAGTGCCAGTGGGATTGATAGAACTTTCTTTTTCATACTTGCTCACATCTTCCTGAGGATGAACTGTGATAACTGAGGCCATCCTGAAACTTTTCCTCCAGTGCAGCAGCAGGTTATAGTTCCAGGTTGTTCATCATTTTGGTTTATGATCAAACACTTTTTAATAAAAATACATAGAATTTGAAAATGCATGTCAGATTGTGAGCTTCTAATCACTGATGTAACATGTTGAATTTGGGATTTTTTATTTTTTTTTTTAGAATAGTGCACACATAATGGCCTAAGAAAACCAGAGCACACACCAAAGTGTATTTATGGTTATCAGTGGTACCATCATGTACTATGTGAAGTTACAGGTGTATCCAGCTCACTGTGAATGAATCATTCTGTCTACACACAACATCTCAAATGTTATTTGACAATCCTAAACATGTCTTTATATATTTCCTTCAAATATGCTGTGGGAGCAACCAGGAGCCGTGACTGCTGATGCTTTATTATATCTTGAATTATTCCCATGAAGACACAAAAACCCCGTCATGTGAACCTTGATCAGTCTAACCTTTCTTTAAGAAATATAATTATGAAGTATTTTATATTACACTGTATTAAACATCCAATAAGTTTACCTTCAAGTTTAGGTACTTTCAGGAACTTAAACAAAAACCAGAGAATGTTATGCATCAGCAGCACATGACAGAAATGTTTTAGGTATTATGGATGTAGTGCCATCACACATTCGCCTGTTTTTCAGTTAGGTTGAGCTTCTATAATGACACCGAAGGCCCCCTTAAACAGCAGTTTGTGTTCGTGAACACGGCCGTCATTACTCCGCACGGAGAGAAGAGCAAGCTGTTATTTGGGATGTGTGTCTGGGCGTGACCTCAACACCTACACAATCTGCTTGGCAACGTTTCAGTCCGTGTGGAAACTCTCCTCCAGGGCTAATGCGGTTTTCCTGCCATGATACGATAAAATGAAACAGCCAGGATGACAGCTTTAACTTGGAGTGAGTTACCACACTGCAGAACTGGTTGATAGATTACTTTAACGCAGGCTTGTTTTAGTTTTATTGTCCGTGCAGTCAGTGATAATCATCTGGTTTAAAGCGAGCATAACTCCACTAACAACTTGTTTATATCAGCTATTTCAAAAGAACCTCTGTTTCAGTGCTGTGAGCCCCCAAACCTGCCGGTGGTGTTTGAAAGACGTTGTTTTTACAAAATGACCGTAACTGAACTATTTATCCAAACTAAAAACAGAGGGAATGATTGGATTTTTAACTTTACTTGAACTAGTCGTGTGTGACGAGCCATGCTGTGGTGAAAGTGATCCAAATCTAAGCTTCAAATATTTAATAAAAATCATTGCATTCTAGATGTCTCAATAATTTTTATAAACCAGATGTTGTAGAAACACAAAAGAATTGTGCCTTCTGACAAGAGTCCAACTATAGACTGAGTTCAACAACAGCATACACATTTCAAACTGGTTGTTCAAAGGGATGCACGATATATCGGCGACCACATCGGTATCGGCTGATATTAATGTTTTTTCCAATATATCGGTATCGGTGTGATGAACAAATTTAGCCGATGTGAAAAACTGATGACTGTCTAACAGTAGTCGTCTCTACATTTGATATTTCTGCTATTTTACAGATGTTTTTACTTAAATGGTTCTGGACTTGAACATTAAATATGCTAAAATATGTTTAACTTTTGTTAAGTAATAAAGAAAACTATGGCGTCTCATTTGGTATTATGGGCTTCTTTTGAATAGTTTTTCGTTCTCACAGTGCTTATTTTTACAAATATTTTGGTGTGAACAAAAACTGAATATCGACATCGGTAATATCAGTTATCAGCGATATAAGAAATGTTAATATCTGATATTAGAATCAGCCCAAAATTTTAAGATCGTGCATCACTAGTTTTGCACGTTTTTAAAAATAAAATAATCTTTAAAAAACAAAAACAAACAAAAAAAACAAAACAGCAAAGGTGCCAGAAAAACCCGTTAAAACACAGCAGAATACTGCAACACTCAAAAACTGGTGCAAATAATCGCAACTATCTGTAAAATTATGATACTTTCTATACGATTTGGACGCCTAGCACTTGATGGATATGTACATGTTGATAATCAAAGACTTTTAAGTGCCATTTTTTTATGTTTTATGATCTATATCTTGAAGTCTGCTGTTTCCATCGAGGTGAAGGTCTTTATAGTGCAGTGAAAAATGAGCCCACAGTGAGTAAAAATGTGACAAACACTCAGAAAGCGCTTGACGTTCCGCTTGCTCATCCTCTATATTAAATAAAGACAGAAAGAACAGAAGTATAAACGTGGCCCTTTAATATAGTAACATTTACAGTTGGTAACAGGGTGAGTGTGATGTGGGGGGAATATATTTTGAACACAGAAGCATAAAAAAAGTAATTCGTTTCACATTTAACACTGACTTCTTAAAGACTAATGCCGTTTGAGTTTAAACCCACATGCAAAGGCCCCCCTGTGTGTGCGATACAAAAAACAATAAATATGATTATCTGAGGGCAAAGACTAACCTGACAAACTGAATTATCGTGGGTATGCACAGTGACAGATATTTACCACCTTTAGTGTCTTTTAGAATGACTTACTTACTTGTAAATGTACAGAGCATAGTTACACGGAGGCCGTTATAGTAGTATACATGTCCAAGGACACACACAGCTAAGCTGGAAAGGCTGAGAAGAGTAATGCTCCGCTGTTAAACCTGACGCATCAGTGGCGTCAGCAAGAAATGTAATTACGTTATATATATATTTACATCGTATGTTAGCATACTGATGGTTTCCAAGCACGTTTTTCTTTTTAGAAAGTCATTGTTGCACATTAACTTTTTCCACAAATGTTAACCCTTATTAAACCAAATAACTAAAACTACATTCTTATGTACAGAAACATCCGGCGGCACTGCTGCCAGCGGAGGAACAAGATACGCACATGCAAGCACCAGAGTCTGTTTGCTAGTAACTGGCTGGTAACAATTATACAAGTCCAGAAAGAGAAAGGCTTCCTAGACATACAGTAGCAGCTTGAAAAAAAAAAAGAAGAACGGAATGCCAAGATATGGTCCAAGAGATGATAATCAAGACTGGAGAAACAACAAAACAGCGTTTAAGCTCTTGATCTGGGCACATGCCGACGCTGCCAGCTGACTGTGTTTTCAAATAATCCTCGATGTTTTGGTTAAACAAATAAATGCATGTATCCGATATCTCCAAACCAGGATATCCTCCACACTGACAGCTGCAGCCTGATAATGTTACAACCGGGTGACTGATGAGGGCTCCGCAGAGTGAAGAGAGGAGATAACGCAGAGCAGAACAGGGCAGAAAGGGACTGGCTCATGCTTCATGGAGGCACAAACACAACAGTGTAAAAAAAAAAAAGTAGCTAAAGTCTTACATTACATTTTAAGATATCCTTCAAATGCCTCAAAGGTGGTGCATCCCCCCTCACTGGGAGAAACCATTTATCCATCACAGGATGCAGTGCTGCATCACCTCCATACAGGCTCAGGATAAGACCACGAAAATGTTCAGTTTGCATAAATACATTTATCATAAGAAGCACAGTGAGGGAAGAAAACTGCAGCAGAACTGGGAGAGTATGTGAGCTGATGTCATGATAGGAGACAGAAGTAATCTGGAATCTTGGAGGCTGTAAAATCACCACGTTTTCTGATCTTAAAAGGAAAGCGATCCATTTTTCAAGTCCTTCTCTGGTCATTGGTTAAACCTCTAAAAACTAGAATCTATGTTAAGTTAATAAAAAAAAAACATGATTGTCACCAGAGCAGGTCTTTGAAAAGGTAGAATATGCTGTCAAAGCTGAGTAAAACAAGAATGCCCACACTGTAGTCGTGATCAGTTTCGTAGATTTGGTTGGAAATAACTTTTGAAAGCGCCAGTAAACCTGTGTGTATACTGGGGAAGCACAAGGATATCTGCACGTCGTCTGTATCAGCTGGTAAGGGCCTTAAAATTAAATATCGGCACTGACAGACAGATCACACCTGTCACGTTAAAAATGTAGCTTTATTTGAAAAAAGGTTACAAAAAATAAATATGGCCTGTTTCACATGTAAGCTGAAGTAGTGCTCGTCTTTTCTCCGATGAACATGTGATGCAATGTTTTTTGTGTCTGCACATGCCAGAAGCCTCTCACAATAAGCAGAATAATAGGTAAACTCCACTACAGGAAGGTTCTGATGTTCTCAGAAATTAGCTGGAAAAAAAACGTGTGCGTGTGTCAGCAATCGGCCAAAATCAGCTGAAAAAGGTCTTATCAAAAAATCCTCGATCATGCATCCTATTAAATATGATCATCATACCAAGATTTAAAAAAAACTGAACCAAAATATTATTATATTTGGTTTGGTCAAAGTTGCCCAGTAACACAACGTATGTGGTTTGTCACCAACACAAAGCATGAGTCAGCATTAATTTATATTTACTGTAAGCTCCTAAAAACTCATGAGCAAGATCATGTTTTGTCCTGACCAAGTGTGACGGAGCAAACAGCAGCAGCTGTGACTCAGTAGATGTTTGACTGTATGTTCAAGAAACTTTTTCACTTGTATCTACTTCTGCCATCAATTTCTAAAATCATTCCCAGAAAGTTGGAAAATCAGCACCTTGACATGACAAGACCAAACTTTACACTGCTGCTGCTGCTGCTTGACAAACCTCCACAAAGAAATACTTGCTGTTGAAGAATGTACAGTGGATATTTAAAACGTGATTTTTACAGCTAAGAGTGTAAAATGTGATAATGTCAGATAAAAACTAAACTCCAAGGCCAGTGTTATATGTAGCCTGGTTCTTCATTCTAAAACCATGTTGACAAACTACACAAACACCTTGTTCCATGTTTTTCACCCCCGAGTATGTTTTGTGATAAAAACACCAGCAGTCAACGCTTCTTCAGCCGTCCTCTACACACAGTCCACAACCGAGCTGTCGTCCTCCTCGGCCCCCCACTCCCCGAACCTCATCTGAGGAGACGGAGCAGCAGGGTGGAGGTTATTAATGTCGTCCATGGCGTCTGGGTCCGTGTCGTCGCTGGCGCCGATTCCCATGTGACCGCCTTCCTCCCGGTGCGTACGGATGTGTTTCCGTAGCGCCGCGGGCTCTTTGAAGCTGCGGTTGCAGAAGGGGCAGCAGCAGGGTCTCTCTCCGGTGTGGATGAGCTGGTGGTGTTTGAGGTGCTGCAGGCGGCTCAGTCGCTTCCCACAGATGGCGCACACGTAGGGTTTCTCTCCCGTGTGCGTGCGCCGGTGTTTGCGCAAACCGTCCAAGTGGCGGAAGCAGTTTCCACACTCAGAGCAAGAGTACGGCTTCTCGCCCGTGTGTATGCGCAGGTGGGTTTTAAGTGCCCCTGACTCACGGAAGCGGCGGCCGCAGACTCCGCACGGGTAGGGCTTCTCTCCAGTGTGGATGCGGATGTGCTTCTTCAGGCTGGAGATCAGACGGAAGGTCTTCCCGCACTCCAAGCAGTGGTGAGGCCGATCTCCAGATGGCTCCACTGCTGTGTCGGGGGCCGATGGTCCTGCTGAGTCCTCTGCTCTGCCCGGTGAAACACTGTCTCCTCTCCCTGCTCCAGGAGTCCTTGCCAGCGATTTCTGCCCATCGAGTCCGCCTTGCTGCAAAGCATTGCCGCATTCACGCACAGGTCTTTGGTGACGCAGTGGGTGAGTAAAAGAACGCTGGGAGCCCCCCTCTCCTCCGACTTGACCAAAGCCAAGGTCCCCTACGTTGAGGGACGATCTGTCTCCATCCCCGACTCTGTTGTCATTACGCAACCCAGGATCCTTCCTGCTCTGCTGCCCGGAGCCTGACGCTGGTCCCTGCTCCTCTTTAATCTCAAATCTGGACGCTCCACCTGGTCCCTGAGACTGCCTGTCATCTAAAGACAAAATGAAATGTGCAGAAACGGTTAACATAGGAGGACATATGAAAACATTCATTCAGTAATTTTGATTTGCAAAAGAAACACAGACTATATACACAGTCTATATTTACCTGGTCTGCTGGAATCAGAGCACATGTGAGACGCATTGGATGCAAATGAGTCCATAGCGTGGTTCGTCACAGAACCGTCCGGTTGGATTGAAAGCTGGCACATTTTGTAGTCGTCTCTCGGTTCAAACCCGTGAAGCGATTCCTCCACAGAGCCACCAAGTCCCAAGTCAACACCTGCTCCGTTCACATTTCTGGGGTTCTGGTGATCCCGCTCCAAGCCTGAGGCCATGGAAGCCATCGAAGAGAGAGACGGGGCAAAAACTGACTGACTAATACTCTGAGGGCCCGTGTATGAGATCTGCAGCTGATCTATGAGCTTCTGAGCGCTACACAGACACTCCTGCAGAGTCTTCAGCTCCCTCTCTGACACCTCCAGACGCACTTTGAGTCTTTCATTCTCCTGCTCCTTGTGCAACAGCTCCTGCTGGGTCTCATTGAGAACAAGCACCACTTCTCCGAGCAGCGTGTCCACTGCAGCGGACATGGCAGTCTGGATGGTCGGGGCGAGCCGTGATTTCAGCGACGTTACAGTCATGCTGCCCTGCGAGGCTCCGTATCCTCCCTTGTCCGCTTTGCGATCGTAACAGGACTCGGTCCTGTCGGGAATGTTAATGATACTTTGTTTACGGTTTCCACTGTGGACTGAGCCGCTGCCGCTATTTGATGGAGAGGAATCCATGCTACCAGCATAGCCTGTCCTCCTGGAAGTCATTATTTAAATGCAGTTAGCTAGCTGTTATCCAGTTAGCTAACGTTTACACGCTAAGCTAACGACAAATGTGCTGCAGAGACCTGTCCACAAATCTGATGAACTGGGTTTAATGGGCGGGTTTAATTGCTGTCGTGTGTGAGAGAAGTGAGTGTCACTAATTACATCTGCTTCATCAGCTGCTTAAGTGGCGCTGCAGACAAAAACAATGTAGTGAACTCCTCGCTGGGCCTGAATCCGCTCGGCAACATTAGCCCGTTATCTTTAAAGCTAACAATGGCCGTCGGTCAGAGACGTTTTCTAACACACTCTGTGACTCAGCAGGACAAACGTGCTGAAGGACTTTAACTGCGTTAATCAAGTCAGCAAGTTATTGTTCAAAGACTTTGGTAGCTCGGCCCTTAGCAGCGACTCACCCATCTCCAGCCTCTGACTGCAGAGCTGCACGGTACTGTACGCAGAGGCCTGTCGCACATCTATGATGTCATCAAGAGGAGGTCTGTTTCCCCCGAGTGTTGACTCGAAGGCAGCCTCACGCCGTCTACAGGGACTGACGAACATTTCAGTAAAATAAGTAAATAATAATAATGTTTGTTTTTTGCTAGCACTTTTTTTCCCCACTAAAATGTGTAATATATATCATCATTTTCCCCACACTTTCTTCCTCTCCATCTAAAATAAAATATTTTAAACTGTTATTTTCTTAACAGTTTTCAATGTTAGCTTTGCTGTGTGCACAATATTGAATGGAGAAATTCACTTTAATTCTGTATTTTTCTGACATTTAATCCTACTGGTTACACACAGAATTACATCTCAGAATAAGAAATAAACAATCTTGCCTTTTTTATGCTGTTTAATTTTTATTTTTTAAACTGTTAATGTGAGAGGTTATAGTGGTTATTAAATAAAATGTTTGACAAATGACTGAATTATTCCTAAACTAAACAGAGACAGACACTGGTAGGTACTTCATGAACTGATGTTAGAATAATAATCCTTGTGGTTATTTTGCATCTTTTTATTGCCATTTTTATTTTATTTGTCTCTCATATCTGTCCTTTCTTGTCAGGGTTGTTTGTATTTTAATAATAAAACTAATTTGATGTCTCTATGTTGACATCTCACGCCACTTTATAATTGTTGTTTGTTCTATGTGGGTTATTTTGTGTTATTTTGTATGTCCTTGTTGTTTTGGCACATTTTGGACTTTATTTCTCATTGTGGTTGCTTTGTGTTTTATGATGGTCATTTTGCATCACTTTGCTGCCATTTTATCTCTTTGTAGTTGTTTTGTGTCTCATTTTGGACTTTTTAAAAAATGTTTTGTCCTTTTAAATCTCTTTGAATTCTTCTTCTTCTTCTTCTTCTTCTTATTATTATTATTATTATTGTTTGTAGTAGTAGTATTATAATACTGACCTGACAATTAAAAGAAAATACATATACAGCGGGTCAAACTAATAACACACAATTGTGTCAGAATTTTTTCTCTCTTTTTTTCCCACATGTTTTGTAGTATCCGGACATTATTACATGTCCAATCCAAACCTATCACATTGGTCTTTAAATATTCTTTAAACAGATTAACATTACCACATAGCTTGACCTTCTCTGGCAGTTTGTTTCTTGAAGAGTCACAAAGAATTTGGAAGCCTGAAGGTCAAGTCTCAGGGTGAAAACTGCTCCACTTATCGAGGCAGTGCAGCAGCCATTTGAGAAGAAAAGCTGTTTGACAGTGAGGCTTCCAGGGTTTAAAGTCTAAAAGTGCCTGCAGGTCATTGACCTTTAGGTCACACAGACAGAAGACCACAGTTCAGGTCACATTCTCAGTCTACTGCAGGCTGCGCTTTAAATGCAGGATTCTGTGGGTCGCTCAAGTTGGGCCAAACATATCGTGAACTTTGTGATACTTTGCAGACGCTCAATGTCAGAGCAATTCATCATGAAAACTAATTACCGTCCCTTAGCTACAGCTACACCCAGATACGTAATAATCCAGCCCTGTTCTCCAGTTTATTCGACGCTGCTTCTAATTATCTTTGCAGCCTTTATAGATGCTCTGTGGACGCCTAAACACTGAGGTCAGATAAGGACCTCAGCATTAATCATTTTCCTATGAACACCAAAACATTGAGCACTTGAACATGTTTATCCAATGAAGGCTTTTTATTACTGTGTTGCTGTTGTTGGTTTACAAAGATGAGATGAATCATCGCCGTCCAATGAGGGCCATCTGATGATTTCATTACATTGCAAATGAAAATCTGTTCCCCATCCTTGCTGGTATTTATACTACGCTTTAGGTGGATGTTATAAGATAATTGAGTAGATTCTCCAGGTCATGGATGTTGAATGATGGTTCAAGGACCAAGAAGAGAAGTCCACTTACTTTTTAATGAAGTTCTTAGAATGTTTTTAAGATGAAATGGATTGGTTTTGTAATTCTTGTTTTGTGGATCGTCTTTGCCCCATTCAAGAAGACAGTGAGCCAACGCTGGCACCTCAAGTTTCTGCTGTTTTCCCCGTGGACCAACAAAAAAATCAAAACAATCATCTGCGTAACCACAACATGTGAAAAAAGTTGGAAGAATGATTCAGCCAACAGTGAGTAAATTGGCACGATTATAGCTTACGGCACGCGTCAAACATGTCAGTTCTTCTGAAGATCCTGTGATCCTGCTATAAAAAGCCCTTGTAGTGTTAATCTGGGCTGCTTCCATATCAGAAATAAAAATAATTTATTCCTTATGGAGTCGTTTCTGATTAGGAAAACAGCCCCATCCCAGCCTGCCTCGGCGGTTGAGGGGAAAAACTGACGTGGTCCGTGGCAAACAGGGGCAGTACGTTGTGGGATTACGTAACAACCCACCTAACAGTTACCATCTGCTTGAATTTGTGTCACTTCCAGAGAAATGTGTCTTACGCAGTGACTTCAGCTCAGTCTTTGAATTGGCTCATATTGCCTGAGACACCATGTTTGTTCCTATTAGCTTATAAAGTTTGTGTTTCAGGTTCTTCAATGGGCCTTTTTGTAAATAAACAAAATCCGATTTGGCCTGCAAGAGCTGAAACAAACATGAATCTAATTATTATGAAATAAGGGGGGAAAAAACAGATGTATGCTTAGCAGTATTAGATTCAGATATAATACATAAACACAACCCCTATTATACAGCATATAAACACAGCGTTACCCACACACAGCCTGGATGCAAATATATGCGTCTCCTTCACAGTTAGACGCCCACACTCTCTCCTGTATGTACTTACATTCAAAACACATTCGCTCACCCACAGAGAGACACACATACAGGAGAGAGAGAGAGGGGAAAAAAACAAAAAAAATAAAACGAAAAGAAAAAAAAAAAAAAAATCATTTTACCTTGGGAAATCACGACGCTTCTCTTCACAACATATCGGTTCCTTTTAAATCCTTTTAAATTAAATGTAGAACAGGAGAAACATCTTGTATTTTGTACACTTAACTCAATCAGTTAATGTCTCTCTTCAGTTATTGATTAAAATCTCAAAATAAATCTGTATATGCTTTAGAAATACCTCAATCAGCCACAACATTAAAACCACCGGCAGGCGAGGTGTGTAACAGTGATCATCATGTTCTGCTGAACCTTGGTTCCTGGCGTTCATGTGGATGTTACACTGACACGTACCACCCACTTTAACACTTTTGCAGACCTGGCACACTCCCACATGGCAATGCCACTCTTCAGCGTCCGCCGTCTTTTTGAACAGGAAAATGTTCACAGCAAAAACTGCTCAGGAACAGCTTGAGGAACACAATCAAGAGCCCAAGGGGTTGACATAACACAAGTGAGATGCATCAGAGACCCACAGAGATCCCAAAGGATCTACTACCTACGCGTCAAGGCCAGCAACCACAGGACACAGGTGCATTTTTACATGATAATAATCCCTTTCTGCCTTAAAATTATTTAACTATAACTCTACACTGTTGAGGTCACTGCCTCTTGCCGTGATCTCCACTGACTAAAGCTCAAGCACACCAGTTCACTTATGACTCTGGTTAAACACTGTAAAACTATTTGACATAACAGCAAATTGAAATATCAGAGTACATGTTAGAACTGGGGCTGCAAGGTGGCTCGGTGGTTAGCACCATTGCCTCGCAGCTAGTTTGCGTCATGGCCATACTGCCAATGGAGAAAAGGCTGGTCACAGAGATGAATGACTTCAACCAAAAAAGTAATAGAGATGTTTGCTGAGCAGAAAGAGAGAAGAGACATTTTTCTGTTCAAATAGCTCCAGACTGCATTTGCAACCTTTTTTCTTGAGACTGTGTGAATTGATGAGCATGATGACGCTGTATTAGTGTCACTGTAACCAGCACAGGAAGCCACAGTAGTGGAAAGTAGTTCATTTATAACTTCAGTGTATTGCAGTATTTACGCTTAAAAATGAGGTCTTCTTGAGGAAAAACAGAGCGCACATGCATTCGCTGTTTATCCACCCATAGAAAAGCTCACGTGTAGAATACATGTAACTGGGTTTAACCATGAGAACGTCCTAGTTTATTATTTTTAAAGTCATTTTTGGTCACACTCCGGTCAGAGCACACCACAGCCACCAACAGCAGCTACCACAGCCTGCTATGTGGGGCATTTAGGGAGCATCAGTAAATCGTAGCGTCTATCGATAAGAAAATGTTCAGCAAGTCATATGTTTTGCCTTTGAGCAGGTGGGTCGTCCTGGTGCTACCAGTGAAAAAGTTAGTCTGGAGCTCTGAATAGTGTTTTTTTTTTTTTCATTATTGATGTTGTGTATTTTGAGTTTGTACAGATCTTGTAAATATTGATGAAAGTTTGATGAATGGTTTTGAAATTTAGTTCTGGTAAGTCCTGATAATGTTAAATTAGATTATGATTAGAAAATCCTCCAAAGGTAGACAATTTACATTCTTGTAAATAGTTGTGCCTGATGTTATTCATATTCTAATTTCTGATTTAAATAAAAGGTCATTTGCAGACTGCACCCCCCCCCCAGCCAAAGATTTTCACCAGCCGCCACTGACCGTAGGTGTGAATGTGAGTGTGCTTGGTTGTCTGTCTCTAAGTGTAGCCCTGTGATAGACTGGTGACCTGTCCAGGATGGATGGATGATTTGTTTTGTATGAACCCCTGGAAATCTGAATCTATGTTTTTGTCGTCAGTACACTGCTGCTTCACGGTGTAAATGCTCAGTCATAGTGTTGAGAGCTTATTGTGCTGCTCAAGAAATGTCTTCAAGCATATATAAGGATAGGATAAATTATTAATTTTTATTTTTTTTATTTATTTATCTTTACCAGAAGACTGAGCTACTGAGGTAACTGAACTCACTTCATCAGTATTCTTCAGATACAGGACAATGCCAGCTGTCCGTGGTCACTCCTTTCTGCACGCTAAGTCAAAAAGCAGAGCGGAGATGCGAGGAAACAGCTGGATTTAAAGCTGCAGCTGTCCCACAAAGTCGCTTGTCCACGTGTCTCTTCAACAGAACATCTTGTCCAATCCTTTGCTTCCCTGGAAGAATTTTCTTGCTATGATATCAGCAGTGATTCCATTTAATAACCGCTAGTTGCCATTTTACTACTGATACAAATTTAAGTTTAGGAGCGTGGGAATTTTATACATTTCCAAAGATTCCCAGAAGTCTATTCAGGTTCATCTCTGGCCTTCTGGTGAACAGCTGGACAACAGCTTCGGCCTCTTTCCGTTTCGCCGCAAAGTTTCGACTTCAGTCATAGACTTTATTTAGGTGAGAGGTTAGATTGGACGGGGAGATGGACTAGGCAGTCTGGAGCACGTCAGGGATGACAAATGCCAATGAATCAAAGCCCTGATGCCGAGAACTCCCAAATTTACCTAACATGCTTCACCCCTTAAAAGGGAAACAAACACTCATTAACAAGTCAGACACGCTCTGAATAATCTGCAAAAGAATGCAACACGGACTCTTGCGGTTCACTTCATCATCAGAATCCAGTAGCAGTGATGTAACTAATCGCAGACTATAGTAATACCACTAATGGCAGTCGCTCATTCACAGGCACTAAAGCGTTTAGCAAGGAGGGAGGTGGAGCTGGTGCAGGAGGGTCGGGTTTGACAGAAGAAGGGGGGGATTGTGGGAGGGTAGAAAGAAGGAGGTGATTGTTGGGCAGAAGGAAGACATATAAAGGAGGGGAGAACAAGAGAAGGAGCAAGTGGAGGAAAGACGAGGGGAAGGACGCTTTTTGAATAAGACTGCAAACTTTGGAAGCAACAGGTAAGTTTGTGTCTTCTAATATTTTCTGCACAGTTTCAGCCTTTATGCGAGTGAATAGCGGTAGACAAAGAGGTCGAAGAATTAGTATTCACTGGGAGCTCCTGCTCTGATTCCAATGCATTTCAATGGAATGTTACCTTAGGAGAGCTCTGAATGGCTCATTGTTGTTTCTCCACGAGTGCTCACAAACGGAGCATATCTCAGGTATGTTTTTTCTGGATTCTTGTTGAAATCGCACATGCAGCTTTCCGGTAACTAGATCCAGCTGACAAGGCTGTGCTGTCTCATGGGTGTGTAAGCATTTGGACCTGTTGAGCAATACCGCCCGGAATGCTGAATTGGAGTTAAGTGTCTCCAAATCTTAACAAATGAGGATTATTCCAAGCAGTTATTTACACAAGACCATAAATCACTGACAGACACGGTACAGAAAGATACGTTTCAGCTATTTAAACACACATTCTTTCATTTGTTTACTCAAAAATGTTCTGCTGTTGAGAGAAAAAGTTTATGCCTCCAACTGAAGGAGATTTGAGTTTTCACCCACCAACCGAAACTAGGCCCACATTTAAGTCATTTGTTTCATTCGACTCAGCCCTCCTCTCTGCAGTCGCATAATCCCTAAAAGACGCAGAATCAGGGGAGAAATAACAGAATGTCCTCATTCAGGCGCTTTTATAAAAGAAACTGGCTCACTCAATATACACATAGCTGGAAACCCAAGGGGCTGATTCTGTTCATTTCTATGCAAAAAAAAGAAGTAAAAAAGCAGATTTTCTTGCCCACTGATGGAAATGTATTTTTTATGATCTCCAGTGCGATGGCTGCCATGAGGGACCTTCCTTTTCCCTTTGTGCTCATATGCCTGGTTTTCATCAGAGGATACTGTCCCCTGCCTACAACATCACAAGTCACAGAGATGAATCCCACGGGACCTGTCAGATCACGTGGGGTTTCGCCCGAGGCCCATGTGCTTCCCCCAGAGGATTACTATGAAGGTGAGGAGACGACCACCCCGATCGTACCCGACAGACGGTCTCCGGACGGAGGTACCTCGGAGCGGTGCGACTACAATCCCTGCTCCGAGAACCAGACCCCCTGTGCAGAGCTGGCAGCTGCCACCAACTGCTTGTGTCCAGGGCTCCCTTCACATGATGATCCTCCAGAGACGCCCAGCCTGAGATCAGTGTCTTGGAATGGGTCAGAGGTCGTGCTTCACTGGTGCGCACCTAACTCACATGTCACAGAGTATGTTGTGACAGTTGGGGGTCAAGATAGGAAGACATTCGGGAAGGAGCAGAGAAGCGGCGCTTTGGGCGACATCAACAACATCGCAGAAGTTTGTGTGGTTGCAGTGAATGATGCTGGAAACAGCGACGGGTCCTGTATGATGTACCGCCCCGTAGACAACAGCCTGCCCCTGAAAGCAGGCCTCATCGGTGGAGCCCTGGGCTTCCTGCTGCTCCTCTTGCTGGCCGTCCTGCTGTGGAGGCGCAAGAGGCAGCGGAAACAGGAGGCCAGCATCTCTATGCACAACACGGCCGGGACACAGTGAACAGAAAAGACTGCGAAGGCCGGACGCTCAGCGAGATAAGACTCCGTCCCACGAGACTCTTTAGCGTTATTGCGTTTAATTAACTGTGACTGCATTATAGCATCTGAGGTTTTTTTGGCACCAGGAGGTTATCTTAAAGCCGGAAGAAAACAGGGTTCATCATCCTTCATAAATATGTCTAACTGGTGAAGTCCAGGGGGTTCATTTTGAAAACCCCCTGATGTGTTTAAGGAAGTTCCCACATCCGTGATTTGAAAGCCAGCTGCACAAAATTATTCATCGTATTCACCAGTAGTGTTTTTTCTGAAAATGCATCCCAGAAGACAAACAAGAACGTTGCGTGAAAGATAAAGTGAGTTTGGTCATTCTTGCATGTCGGTAAATTAGCTGTTTGATGGACAGCTCAGAAAAATGCACAGTCAGGATTTAAAGGAACATTCCAGCCTGTCTTGTCTGCTTGCAGCTGCTTAACGTAGTACACAGCTGCTCGTAGAACGATCAAATACTTGCAGGATAAAAGACTCAAAAGCACAAACTCTCTCTTTGTTACCTAATTTTAGAGACTCAAAGTTGCATCCTGTAAAACAACCTGTCAAACTTTTTAAAGTTTTAATCGTATTAGATACAATAAAAGATGACAATAAACTCTTATTCGACACAAATTCTGCCACTGAGAAGGTGGCAGGAGGTAAGAGGATGAGTACAAAGCTTTAGATGCCAGTGTAGTACATCTGTTAGGGTTTGATAGCGGTTGTTGAAAACATACTGCATCCTGATGTTTCCTCTCTCTGTGAGAGTTCCTCATGTTGTGTATTTAATTAATGTGTGAATGGATTATTGCAGATGTGCTGTATTATTTACTGTATTTATGAATTTCATTTGGATTGTTGCCTCAGATTTTTGATACTTTGACAGGTTTCTTTGAGATACCACTGTTCAGACTGAACTTACTGTTGCTGTTAAAATTAAGTAAAATATTGCCTTCGTTGCTTCTGCACCCATGAGTTCAGCCCATGTGTCTTTTTTTTTTTTTAAGCAGCTCTTCAACGGGTGTGTTTTTCCATCTGTCTTATAGTGGGAAGTTGTGTCAGTGCACTGGGTGAGCACCAGCTTTCGGTGCTGTTTTTCCAGCTGTCACACAATAGCCTTTTCAGCGGATATGGATTTTGTGAGGCTCGTCTCATTCCAGCTGAGACTTCCAGTCATGCAGCGTTGGGCTGGTGAGGAGCTCCAGGCTTGTTTTTTTTTTTTTTTTTGCCACAATGAGAAAGAGAAGAAAGTCCAATATTTTAATCCTCCCAGTTTATCTCGTGTTCAAGCCTCCATCTGCATGTCTCGCAGCCATGTTATAATTCCTTTCTGCTCTGGTCTGCTGTCAGCCAGTCGTTCCACTGCTCCTGGCGTCTTTCTTTTTCCAACTGCGCCGCACAACTTACACGGCGCAGCGCTGTGTGGAAGTCATCTAACATCTGTAATTTGGAGACACAACACACTGTTCACTTCGGTGGCTGAAATGGCCTCAAGATGTTGCTTTTATGACACAGTCACAGTCAGTCTCTCTGGAACTGGGAGGGAAATCTTTACATGATTGAGCCAGTATGAGATGAAACGCGAGCATACAAAATGATGCAGTCTGTCTAAAGCAGATCAAGACATTACGTACTCTGGACAAATGCAAAATATCGCAAAACTTACACTGTTGTTGTGACGGCAGCAGAACAGAACAGCACGTACGAGGAAAAGCTTATGGGTGTTGTTTCAAAATGTGCAGGATGTGCCTTTTTTTAAAAAAAATAAACCATTTTTGAGAGCTCTGAATGAGTGTTGAAGAAATCTAAATTGTGCAATGTTTAAAAGTTCCCCCTGAGCACCGTCATTGTCCAGTCAGAGAGCTAGAAAGAGAAGTGACGTAGATGTGTTTCCATCACATCAGCAGCTGCCCCGGCGGTTAAAAAGCTTCTGGGCTCTTTGATGATAAGAATGAAAAGCCTGGAAATCCTTAACGTCAGTAGAAGTTACATGATACGAAAGAAGATTTTAGAGAAGCTGTCAAATCCTCTTGAAGAGACTCTGCTGGAAGTACAGAATGTCCATAATAATTTGAGTCAAAAAGCAACTGAAGATTTAACTCCGCACGAAGAATTCAGTTTAAATCCCACTAAATTTGCAGCATTGATATGTTTTAATGTGGAAAACCATCTGAATTTATATGATTTGAATTCTAATTTTTGAAATTTTATGAAAGTTTTCTGGGTTAAAAAGTTGTTGTGCTCACAAATGCGGACAGAATTGGTGACCTTTTGTTGTTGTTTGTTTTTTTTTTTGGATTATATGACTGACAAAACATCACCTGATAGGATGGAGGGCTCATTTGTTCCATCTATTGTGGAGGGCTTATCCTCACTAGCTGGCTCTAGAGTATTAGTGTCAGAATTTCTTCAATCAAATCTGAGCAACTCACTTTTTTCTCTTGACTTTCAGCCCAGCTTTCAAAAAAAAAGTGTAATCGCTATGGTGATCCACAGCGCAAACTGTATTATTTTCACAAAACAGGCTATAAAACTGTGAGATGGCTAAACATTATGGGCACCATTCTTGGTTGGGGATTTGTCACCCTGAAAATGCAGAAAACACCCAGAGTTTGGTGTTTTTATGATCTGTTCCTGAACCTACCCAAGTAGCTTTGCCGCCTAACCTTAACAAAATAGTTTTGGAGCATAAACAAAAGCAAACAGCGACTGAAAACACAAGCAAGGACTTGCACCCTCCGTCTCCTGTGTGAAAATCCTGTGATTTATGCCTCCTTGTGTGGGCTTATTTATGTTTTCCTCTTTTTTTTTGGTTTAACCTTGCATGTCATGTTATATGCACCAATAGAAGAGAACAGGCCGAAAGAAAAATGTAGACATCTCACCATTTTATAGCCTTGATCGTGAAACTAATATGTTTTTCTGCTGCAGATCTCCATAGCTGAAACTGTATTTGATTTTTTTTTTTCCCATAAATACCACTGAGCACATACGCTTTGAATTTGTGGAAAAAAGCTAATTAACATGTCCAGAATACACAATCTAAAGTTATCCTTTTCCATACTAGAAGTTCATTAGTATTAGGGTTAGTTTAGTTTTTTTTAGCATTTAGTATTCTTTCAGATTGTACCAGCTGGTCTTTACTTATGTACGCCTCTGATTTTCTTCATACGATTATCTTTTTGAAGACAAATTTATTAGTGAAATTTCGTGATCTAAAAGTAAAGACTAAACTAAATAACGGCGTTTAGTATGTGGACATCTGGCACACAGAACACAGACTTATCATCTGCTGATGCTGATTTTTATCTGCATATTTCATGCTCCAGATGAATGACTCTCCTGAGTTCCGCAGTGGAAAAATCCCACTTTTTTTTCCCCTCCCCTTCCTCAAAGCCGGACAACACCTCGCAGGCAGACGGAGTGCCTCTCCAGACAAGTTTTGATGTTAGCATGAAAAAAGTTGGAAGATAATCTGGAAGAAAAACAGATGCGAGGTTCAGAATGTGCCGTATTGACAGTCACGTTTCTGCTCTGCTGAACTGCTTCTCGTTTTCAGCATCTGAAGCCAACAGACAAAGCAGATAACAGCCCTGATGAATCGCAGATAAGACACTGTTGATGGTGGATGTTCTGTCGTAACTGCAGGTGAATTTTGCAACAAGGGTCAGCAGTAGGGGACTGCGTTGACAGCACACTTCTCATTCGAGGCGAGTCATGTTGAATCACAACTATCTCATTCAGCAATCTGGTGACTCATTTTTAATTCTCTGGTGAAGAGGTCCCGTATAAAGCTGTGAATCAGCACCGTAGACACAAATACTTTGTGTCGTCCTCTTTCTGCCTGGTCTGTTACTGTAACTGCATGACTAACAATGTCAGCAGTCAGTGTCTGTGTAGTCTGCGAAGTGACGTTTGACACGTCTTTAATTGTGTTTGTGAATTTTGGGATTTTACCCGCAGGAGGTGCACTATGTTATGTGGCTAATGATGATTAAAGAGACAGAGCTGATAAATGACTCACAGATTTAACTCTGCTAAACATGTAAATGTCACTCTGGCCCTGTAGCAGACGTGACATTTTAAAGTAATCCAGGACTTTCATCAGTGTCTCTCAGCATCCAAGATGATTCCAGCATCCACAAATGTATTTATGTCATTAGATGAAGTGAACAAGTATGTGTTCACAAAGCAAAGAAAAGCATCTTTTTCAGGTTTATCTGCCCTCAGGCTCTGAGAAGCAAAGTCAACTTATTGCCCTCTGCTGGCCACATTCAAACCAGAGAGGAGGCCTGTCCGGTCCTCACGAAAAGCCAGAAATGGACATTAATGTAATCGCAATAATAATCGTGTCTGCAGAGCTGGATCATATTAAGCTCAGTGCCAATTAGAAGCACTTTAATGAGCGAAGTTTCAAAGCAACACAAGACAAAAACCAATTTTCAGAGGCACCTGCACTCAAACGCTGCAGGTGCGCCAGTCAGAAGCTCTGCAAAATTAGAGGTGAGAGAAGCATTTAGACAGTTAAAGTTGCCCTAATCTACATTTTATGGATCAAACGGGTAATAAAAGGTGATTTATCACCTGACTGTGCGGCTTCCCTCAGCTCTGTGGAGCATCCTTCAGTCGGTTGTTTCGGTTTTACAGCCTGCAGCTTCTCTGTTTTGATTCATCCTCATCAGTGCTGTTTGCATCATCCGTGCTCACCATTATGCAGAAGCATTTGTCAGTGTGAATATCATGTCAGCAAATGTGGAACACAGAAACGACAAAGAGGAACTAGAGAGCGGCGTTTAGTAATATAATGGATAAACTGTGCGCCCAATAAAAGGAGCTGGAAACACGCAAACCTGCAGCCTAATCTGACCCTTTTATTTGCAGCAGCTTTTGCAAAATTATAGAATTTTTCACCATTATGTGTGACACGTTGCACTGAATAAGGACTGATTATTTCACGTCTAGATCTTTTAACTGATTGTGTTTTCGTGGCAGCAGCATGTAGCTGCGGCTATAAAGAGGCTTTTCTGCAGTTAAAGTAATCGCAGGTTGTAATATTATATTCACCCCATAACATTATACTGGTACCTATTCAAAACAGTCATTCATTTTCATGCAATTAATTATTCATGAAAATTTAATTTGCATTTGGCGCTGGGAAAATGAACACTATTTTTTTTATTATTAGTAATCCACCAGCAGGGGCACTAATGGCTGCTTTCTGTGCCCGCTGGGGTCAGCTTTTACAGGGCATAAAATGTTCAAAGTAGGTCAGACATCCATCAGCGCCCATTATTGGAACTAGACTGTTCTGTGTACCCGGTGCCAGAACACACACTGGCTTTATTTAAATGTAGAAAGGTTTCCACTTCTTTTAAGCATTTTGGAGACATACAAAGCATAAAAAGAAGGCAAATGAAAGGGTGTCAATCAAAAAGTGCTTGCTAAATGAGCTCGGTGCGGTTTAGTTGAGTGTTAAAAACAGCTTTTTATCAGGGGAGACTCTGGGTCACGAGGTGGCCTTCATCAGAGGAAACTCTGGGTCTTAGTGGGTGGTTGTAGAAACCGATCCCACCCCCCCCTCCTCCCCTGCAGGCATCTCATCCTGTTTACTCCTGTGTCTGCCTGTCTTGGCTCAAACCACAACTCTGTAAATAAAAAGATTAACTTGTGTCTCTAAGTGTAAGTCTGATGTCAGCGGCAGGATGATCAGGGTTTATGTAAATGCGGCAGAGCAGCATGTTAGATTCTTCTTTTGGCATCATCGCCGACGACAAAACAAGAGTGTGACATCTTTCATCATCCAGGCGTCTTTGGGAAAACAGGTTCGGCGTGAGTCACTTTCATTTGTTTTCGCAGGAGCCACTAGAGGTCATTATTGCAGAGAGCACTGTAGGAATTAAAGGCACCTCTGGCATGCACTCTGTGATAATGTAGAGGAAATGGAAATTAGTTGTTCTAATAGGGATGAAAATGAG